AGATTTTGTTTACCCAGAAACCCACCATTGGGAAAAACTGGGAGTCATCAACCGACTAGGCAATCCACTAAGTAGAAAAAGATTCTTACAAAGGAATACAAGCAAGCTCAAGCAAAACCTAGATCTATTTAGGAAGATGAGCTTTACCTCCTTTGTGCAATCTTCTTCTCCAACTTAGCAAAGCTTGAAGCTTAGTTCTTTATGGCAATGGCAGCTCCTTCTCCAGCTCGATCATCCCATGGCACTAGCTTGCAAGCTCAAACTCAGACCGAAACCAAACTTTGGATTCAAGGGAGAATGACCAAATTTCTTCAAGAAACCATACTCTTGAAGAAATCAGTCGTGAATCCGATCTAGATCTAAATGAGAGAATGATTTAAATAGCTAGATGCAGATTCATATTTCAAAAGCAGTTTTTCAAAAAGAATTCAATTAGAAAAAATCATAGATGAAATATATGGTTTACTCTTGAGGAAGAAGAAGAGAAAGATGGCAAGCCAATATTTCCAAAACTTCCACACAAAAGAGACGGCTTCCAAATGAGGAATTCACTTGCTTTTACAGACAAAAGAATCCCTTAGGTCAGACTGACACATGGCAGCAGAGAGAGAAAAAAGAATAGGACAAAACAGATGGTTAACCAACTGAAAATCCTACAGAGCAAGGATGACTAGTCATCATTTATGAAAACAGTTTTAATGCATGATATGCAATGCATGATTTACCTTTGTCAAATTGCTTGAACCTCCATAGGATGGATGAGAGTTAATAACACTTAGAGATGCTATTCTTAATCTAACCTTGAGCTTGATGAATACATATAAAAGTCCTATTACAAAATTGTCAAGGGAAGCCAAAAGAATTAATCAAAATTCATACATTAACAGCAGCTCAGGCAAGGCAGCATGTGGAAGATGAAGTTCCACAAATTCAATGCATTGAGAGTATTTTTGGGAGAGTTTTGGCTTGATAGAGCTAAGATTTACAGGTGTGGAGCAAATAAATATGTGAAAATTATTTTTCTTATTGGCGAGCTTCTTGGCTAACTCTAGGAAGAGAGATGTGTAGCCATGAGCTAACCATGGAAGCATAAGAACACTGACCATGCTTGGATTTTGAGAGGACTTCCTCTTTTTTTTTTTCTGACTTTTTTTCTTGAGGCGGTGGTTGGCTTATGGCCTCATATATAGTTTCGTGTTTTTGGAGATCATATGGACTCTGATGGAGATGAGTCATAGTTTGTGCTAGTGCATACGTAATTCCAATTTCCTGATTCAGATGGGATAAACTCTTCCAACAAATTAAGACTTATCATGCAGACACATAAAAAGAAGTGGAACTTTGCTCCTGTCTTAGTTTGGCCCTTGATATTGGACAGCTCATAGGAAAGCACATCTAAAACAATATTTTTTTATTTTTTTATTTGAATACAAGCGATATTGGAAGAGTGGGAATTTGAACACATGATCTAGCACATTGGTGTATTTGCATATTAAGAATAACAAAGAGAATTTTTTCATACTAGGAACTGATAGTTCCTATATATTGAGACTTTAAAAAACTGAAATCAGTCCCCAATAACAGGGACTATGCAGCAACTATTTGGTTGACAGTATTACAGGTTGGAGATGCTATTGATAATTAGATACTGTTTTTATTATATTTTATATCAGTTCCTCATATTAACAATAATAAATTAGTATTTTATATAATACACATGTTTAATGAAATTCATCTTCTTCTTTTTTCTTCTAACTATCTAGGATGTCACTAGCTTAGCATGTTTATTTAAATTCTACGTTTGCTGAAAAAAAAAGAAAAAGGAGAAGACTTATGTCCTAAATTAAATCTTAAGTTCATTTTTTCTGTCCCTATATTTTTGACCCAATTATAATTTTTGAGAAAAAAGGTGAATCAACTGTCATTTCATCTTCATCTTTTCCATTTTTCTTTGAGATTTTCTATTTAAATCTCACACTTCTTTTTGTTCACCCCATGTTCTAAGTTCACCCCAACTTCTAATTTAAAATTTCACAATTTCTAAGAAAACCCCACTATCTTCCCAAACTACCCTTAAATACACCCCAAGTTGAAAAAATAAGAAATAAAAGAGATTTTCCATTTAAACCCCACAATTTTTTTTTTTTACTCCAATACTTAAATCATTAAATAATATTTGTATTATACATGAGATTTTGTTGTTTTCACAAGTTGTTTTTATCATGTGATTATATCATATGAAAAATTGTAGTTTGTTTGGTTTCGTTTTATGATGATAGTGAAAACCAATGACCACAACATCTTATTTTATTTGTTTACCCAACGGAAAAAGGACAATTATCAAACATTGTTAAACCAACCCTTGTATCAAATACTCAACGTACAATCTCAAATTATCTTCTTTGCATATTGTGGTTTATTTTAATTGCTTATTAAAAAGGTTAACTAATCAGACAAAGAACTGTGTGGTAGGGTTCGAATCTCAAACCACTGACATGCAATCTGGCAATGAGATGTAGAGGAGTTTGTATTTTTCTAAAACTTAATATGAAGAGTGGTGGGGTGTGTGTATAGATGTACTAGGGTTAAGTATTAAGTTGGATGACCTTTTTGTCTTTTTACACAATAATAAAATTTACAGCTTAATGATTTAAGTATTGGGGTGAACAAAGAGAAGTGCGGGGTTTAAATAGAAAATCACTTTTCTTTATATAGGGTTCTTCAAGGATCATTTCTGCAAAAAAAATCACTTGAATTTGAATCCATTTAACAGCCTAAGTAAATCGTTGGGATCGTTGATATAAAATTTAAAGTGTACCTTACAATGTCTCCCTCAAATAAGATTATTTGTAGAATCTCTCTTGATCAATATATATGTGAGTCATATGAGAATGTTTAGCTTTCCAGTCCCAAGAGTTTGGTCCGGTTTCCAAATATACAAGTCATTGTACTTTAAAAAGTTCACCAAATTTCATTTTTGATTTGTGTAGTTTGCTCGAGGGCCCTTTCTGTCAATCTATTTGTTGTGCTTGAAAGATTTTATATAAAAGAAAAGATATTTTTTTATCTTAGAAAAGTTTATTTTCAGATCTTTACATATAGACATACATATGGCCTGAGCATTCAAGCAATACACACATAAGCTGATGAGCATTCATAATCATTAGAATGAGTATTGATGGTAAAAAACAAAGGACAATAGTTCCCTCCTTACTTTTTACTGTGGCTCAACTACAAATAACATGTGTCCTCTCTTTTTTAATTGTCAAAACATTTTTTTCCCACTTTTACTGAACACCTAGCTTTTTACCAAAACAAAACAAAACTAAAAAAACAATATTCCCATAGGTTTTTTTTTTCACTTTGACTTTTCTCAACTTTTAAAAAAATAATAATTTTCCTTTCTCAGTCAAAATTTGAAGTCTTTGTGGTCATTTGTTTTTCTATTTTGGTAAAAAGCTAAGGTTTCAGTAAAAGTTACAAAAAATAGAAGAAAAAAAGACAGTTTTGACAATTCAAAAAAGAAGACACATTACTTTGTGGTTGAGTCACAATAAAATGTAAAGAGGAGTTCCTTCTGATAGGTAAGGAGGGAAGTATTGTAAAAAAGTAAACATCTTAAAAAAACACAAAGAAAACCCAACATCATTACTTACAAAAAGTAAAGAAGTCAAGCCCAACATTTTGAATTTTATTCACCTACACAGATGCTGATGTGAGCATTCAAGATCATTAGAATGATAATTTAATTGAAGACTCAACGTACGGACGTCTTTCTCACTTAGATTCCCTTCCCGTACAAACTTGCATCAGTTCCTCCACGACCCCATCAATCTCTTCATCCTCTTTCTTGTTCATGTTGTCTCTTATTTTCAATGCCTTTTTTCTCACTTCCTCTCCAATTTTCTCCACAACAACATCTCTAATCACCTTTGCGACCTCTTCTCTTTGCAAACTTCCTTCCCCTGTTCTCTTAACCTCCACACCAACACCCACCTCCTCCACAAGTCTAGCGTTGATCGGCTGGTCAAGATGCAGAGGCATGGCTATAATTGGAACACCAAACTTGATGCTCTCCAACACTGAGTTCCATCCGCAGTGACTCACAAACCCACCAACACTAGAATGCTGCAGTATCTTTGCCTGTGGGGCCCAACCCTCCATTATCACTCCCTTCTCTCCCACCCTCTGTAAAAACCCTTCTGGTAACACCTCTTCAACCCTAGTACTTCTCTCCTCCATAGGAAATCTTAAAACCCAAATGAAGGTCACTTTGCTAAGCTCTAATCCGTGAGCTATCTCTTCTATTTGCTCCTTGGACAGAAAGTACTCACTGCCAAAGCAAACATACACTACAGAAGACCTTTCCATTTTGTTCAGCCATTTCATGATCCATGTTTCCTCATCAACTTTTTGATCCATTGGCTCTTGAACAAGCGTTCCAACAGGCACGATCTTCTTCCCCATTAAATCAGAGAGATAATCAATGTATTTTTCTTCAATCTCCTTGGATGTCTTTACCAAAATGATGTTACAAGATCGAGCACTGCATTGCAGAATACGGTCTCCATCTTTGATGCCATTTGCTGAAGATTCCAACGCATTGTTAAACTTTTCAGCTTCGTAATCTTGAAGATAAATCGAAGGAAAAGGAAACTTGACACTAGGGTTGTTGAGATGTTGAATACTAAATGAAGTCAAGGCAGCACCCATGGTGATGAATTCGATGGATGGAAAATTTTGCAATGAAGCTAGAGAGGGCGCCCATGGTTGAAGAACATCATATATGAGCAAATCTGGGCTTAGGGTTTTGAGGATGTTGGAGAAGTTGTTGCTGGACATGTCAAAGGCCCTTTTGAGAGTGGACATGAGATGGGGAGGGAGGCCATTGGTGGTGTGGTAGTGAGGTGGGAGTTCAGGCAAGTCATCATGTGGAAGATGGAGTTCCACAAATTCAATGCAATGAGAATATTTTTGGGAGAGTTTAGGCCTGATGGAGCTGAGATTTACAGGCGTGGAACAAATAAAGATGTGAAAATTTCTCTTGGTGGTCAGCTTCTTGGCTAGCTCTAGGTAGGGAGATATATGGCCGTGAGCTAGCCATGGAAGCATAAGAATAGTAAGGTTTCTTTGGTCAGAGTGAACCATATTTTGTTTTCCTTTCACTCTTTTGCTTGAGGTTGCTCGATTATAGGCTTATTGGTAGTTTGTTTGTGGCTAGCTCTATGCATATATATATATACACACATAAGCCTCATTTGGTTCATGGGAAAGGAGGCTTGAGGATGGGAAATCAATTGCTTTCCCATGTTTGGTAAGTTCAGGCATGGGAAATCGTTGCCTTGCACATGAGAAGTAGTAGAGGGGAAAGTAAAGCCCTCTTCTCCCCTTGGGTTTTGTTTTCCTCCTCATAGGAAAGTTTGGGAAAATGAGCCAATATTAAATACATATTTTTCATGACCATATTGAAGGAAGTTGAGGTTCCACCCCAAAACCAATTGGCAATGGGGGGAGTAGCCCAACTCCTTATAAACCCATGCTTGGTCCCTTAACTTTTCAATGTGGGACAAATACTCTCAACACGCCCCCGCACGTGTGGCGAACTTTCAAGTCTAACACGTGGACAACACATATTGGGTGGCGTGGGAGCACGTGTGGCCGTTGGGCCCAACACGTGAAGCCTTGCTCTGATACCATGAAGGAAGTTGAGGTTCCACCCCAAAACCAATTGGCAATGAGGGGAGTAGCCCAACTCCTTATAAGCCCTTGCAAAGTTTCTCAACTTTCCAATGTGGGACTCTTTACCTTCACATTCTCACACGCCCCCGCACGTGTGGCGAATTTTCAAGCCTATCACGTGGACAACTAATATTGGGTGACGTGGAGCACGTGTGGCCGTTGGGCTTTCACACGTGGGCTAACCAGCTCTGATACCATGAAGGAAGTTGAGGTTCCACCCCAAAACCAATTGGCAATGGGGTGAGTAGCTCAACTCCTTATAAACCCATGCTTGGTCCCTTAACTTTTCAATGTGGGACAAATACTCTCAACACATATTGTGCCCATTAATAATTTAGAATTACAATATAGCATTAAATGCATTCTATTTTTATTTGATTTCATATGGGTATAATTGGAAAATTAAACAAACTTGGTTTTACATTCCTACACAAACCAAACATGTAAAAGGAAATAAAGTGGTATTTCTTGGTTACTTTCCCAGGATTATCAAACATGGGAAAGGAATCTCCATTTCTCATCCCTTATGAAATGACATGGGAAGTGATTTTCCCCCAAATCCGTTCCGTGAACTAAACGGGGTCATACTGCATAATAGAAGTTCGAAAAAAACGCGTGATGATTGGAACATGCATATGTAAGTTCCCGAGTGATGATTGGAACAAGCTCCTAATGATAAAGACTCGAAACAAGAATAGTTTAAACTTTCTTCTTTGTTTGGCTTGATATAAGACGAATGCACCAAACAAACCGACTAAATGCCGGCACAATAAATAGGGGCCACAATTACCTAATAATTAGGTACTATATAGATCTGAGAAACAAAAGTTCAACTTTGATGACAAGCGATATTAAGGGAGGGCGTAGGGATCTTGGGTGTAGAAATACATGCTCTTAACAACTTGAGTTACAAATTTGGAAAAAGAAAAAAAAAACAACTTGAGTTACAAGCCCTTTGCAATATTAATGACAATTTATGGTTTTAGTTATACTTTTGAATAAAGCAAAAGGCAGAGAATGGTAAAACATTCAAAATACCAGAAAATGTCATTGGTTAATGCAAACATTAAGAATTAAAATTATTACTGAAATAAGGATAATATGGTAAATTCACACTTTTTCATATTTAATTTTTTTTAATAAAAAAATCAGATAATGGATCCTATTTTTATGGAACACAACTATCCATTATCTTTTTTAATTCTAAAGTGAATTAAAATTTTTTTTTAAAAAACCTCTCGTAAGTACGGAAGCGCGTGCGGAGAGACTAGTACTTTTGAATTGTTCACTTCCTTCTCTTTCATTTTCATTTTTATTTGTTTATATTTAACTCTAATTTTATTTATATTTTTGGTCAAGGTATAAAGACTTTGAATCTCTCTCCAATTATTTTTCACAGCCGAAACTCCTTTAGTTTCCACAAATATAACATTTCATGCATATGTAAGTTTCCGACACGGATGGTTCACGTAACCAAGAAGTTTAAACTTGTTTTTCTTTGTTCCTCCGACGAAAGCACAACTAAAGGACAAACTACAACCAATGCTTCTAGTATTACCCGTTCTCATTGAATTTGTATGCAATTATTTAATGTTGCCGTGAATGTTTAGGACTCTGTTGATTAATTATGAAAAAGCAAACTAGGGCTGGGCATCTATACCGTATATACCGAAACCGTACCGATACCATGTCATACCATACCGTTTAATACCGTACCGTATACCTACCGAATTAATATGGTATCATACCGTACCGTACCAATCTTGTATGACATGGGTGCGGTACCATATATCAGCCACCGAATGCCACCGTACCGTACCGAATAGTAACCCTAAACAAAAAATACGCGAGTTTTTTTCACTTTGTCGTCAACTCGATCTCTCACTCACCCAACAGACCCAAACTCTCGAACTCTCCTCCCACTCCCAGCCAGCTCTCTCTTTCTCTCAAACTCTCGATCTTTCTCAGTCACCCACCCTCAATCGATCGAACCAGGCCAAAACAAACCCTTGGGTCTCTGTCTCTTTGTCACTCTCTCACTTTCACGATCTCTGTCTCAGTCACTCAATCTCTCGAATTTGATCGATCTCTCGATCTATGTCTCACTCTCGATTCAATCTCTGTCTCTCTCTCAATCTCTCTCTGTCTCAGTCTCTCAATCTATCTCTCTCAGTCTCAGTCTCTCGATCTTCCTCTCTCTGTCTTTGAAGCCCCAAATTGACGATCTATCGATCTCTCAATCTGTCTGGAAGCCCCAAATCGACGAAGCCTGCTCCTCTCGATCACTCTCTCTGTCTGGAACTGGAAGCCCCAAATCGAAGACTCAAACTCAAATGGTAAGTTTATGTTCTACAAATTCTCTGTCTAGAATTGAAACTTTTGATAATAAGCTTTTGATTTGAATTGAAATGTTGCTGAATTGATGAATTAGGACAATATTTGCATTTATTTTGGAAAGAATTGCTGAATTGATTATTTGCAAATGTTGCTGAATTGCTGAATTGAAATGTTGCTGAATTGCTGAATTGCTGATTAGCTCTCGTAAAAAAATGTCACTAATTAAAAACTAATTGCTGAATTGCTAATCTGATATTTCGGTATTTAATTTTTCAATTTTCTAAAAAATGTCACTAATTAAAAACTATTGGTCATTGGTGTTTGTATAAATCTGATATTGCATTTAGCTTCATCGATTGTATTTTCAGTGTGTGTTGTTTGACTGCTTACTTGTGAATGTGATTCTATGATGTCTCCTGTTGTCTCTCTTACAATTTGTCTGCTTGCATTTGTTGGTTTGTTATTTGATTCTGGGGTACCAAATATTTTGTTTTCTGTTAGTAATATGTCTTCAGGTTCATGAATGAACAATTTGAGACCTAGAATACGAGGGTGATTCTTCATTCTATTTTCTAAGAATTCATTTGCATATGAACTCTCAGAAAACAATAATGTTGTCTCTCAACTTAGACTTTTCCCATTTATGATCAGAAAAGTAGTTGTTGCGGTTGCAGTTCTATATATGTTGATGTTCTTGCAGCTCATTTTGGTGCTATAAGCCTTGTAGACTTTCAAGATAATTATTTCTGGCATGTCTCATATTGAGGGTGTTATTATTACAGTACAAAATATTTCTTAAGTGTCCTGTTGATTACAATTTTTGGACGATAAAGCATGTGATCATAAAGCAATGCATGCTTGTAAACTTGAACTTTGCAGAAAGCAATTGCTCAAATGTTTTAATAACTGAGAAGTGTGATACAGTTACAGTATATGTTTTTGTTGCATCAGTTTGTTCAAATTTGATTGCTCACGTGTATGTTTGTAAACAATAAGTGTGTCTGAACTATAGAAGGTGAAACCTGCGCTACTGCTAATAATTGTTTGTTTGGGTAATTTGCAGAAATTGCAAATGATGGGGATACTTGAATCCAAATTGTGGGCTGCAAATGAAGCTTGGATTGCATAACTTTCTGTTTTTGTCATTTATGTTTGGATTGTGTTTGTAGTTTTGTAAGCCATAAGGCATAATTATCATTTATTTTGGTTTGTTGATGTATATTGATTTGGTTGATTATGGTTTGGATGTTGAATTTGTTGAATCTTTGGTGAATGAATAGGTTGAATATTCAATTGGTTCATTTCTGAGTTTTGTCATTTTGAATACCGAAATGGTACCATACCATACCGATACCGATTCGGTACGGTATGGTACGGTACCAACTTTGGCAAACCATAATCCCATACCGAACCATACCGGTTTTAATTTCCGGTATCGGTAGCGGTATGAGCCCAATACCGTACCGTACCGAACCGTGCCTACCCCTAGTCCAAACTAGTATTTGTGTTTCTAAATTGTTTGAAAACACATCTCAAATTATGATTTCTCCTCCCCAAAAGAAAAATTGATGTAGAAGTATCATAATCTTGATGACACAAATTAGAATCTAGGGTTTTCGAAGTGCCTAATGGACAACTATTAATTTAGAAATGTATATATATTTTTTTTCTCAATGCAGAAACACATAAATCCCAAATTCGAATTCATCCTTTTTTTTGTTTGTTTTTTTGCCTTTTTTAACTCAGAAGAAAAATTGAGTGCCGGCACTCTGCTGTAGAATGCAAGTTTTAGTTTAGATTTTTTTATTTTTGAATCTCTTATCTAGTTCCCGAGCCTCTACTTTTAGATCTCGTGTATTTACTCGTATTTCGTTAAATCTGAGTCATTCAAAGAATCTAACTACTTAAAAAATGACACGTGCTCAAACTTAAAATCAGATTGGATGGACTTGAGGCTTACACTGATGATTCTATATGTGCTGAGAATAATCCTTTTATTTTTTTATTTTTTTCTTGGTTGAGACTCGAGAGACAGGTGCAGTGTAGCGATGGAGAGACAGGTGCATGAGTCATGACATGGAAGTCTAAAGAAGAGAAACGTGGAAGCTTCATTTAGACAGTTGGTGGTGTAAGTCCATACGTAAAGTCCAGATTCACAGACTATGTCTTAGAGTTGAAAGCAACAAACTACAGCCACAATAGGAAAGCATCTGAAACGTAAAGAAAATAAGTTTACCAGAAGCAAAGGAGATACTTTGAAGTAATATTTTATCGACTGAACTTAAACGAAATATTAACTCTTTGTTGTGCCATAATATTTTTTAACCCACAAAATAATATAGAAAATAAATGCAAGAACAAGAGAATAGCAAGACACAATTCAACGAGGCGGCTTACAATCAGTGTAAATGAGCAAACAAATTCACTATCAACAAATTAGCATGCTTATGAAGTGTTTTGCAACCTCACAAACCACGGCGCCATATACACCAAATGACTCTCACTAAACAAAGAAACACACTAACACTAATGAAAGCCACGTTACAAGATAGGAGATTGAATATTACATTTACAACACACACGTATAGGTTACAAGCACTAATTACAAATATTTAGCGCATAAATTACGTAGAACTGAACGGGTGGACTGATAAGAGGTATGGTGGTCATCCACCAACTCATGCATTTACAACACCACCTCTTGAATGTCCACCATACAATGATATAGTTGCGTCCTTAAAAACTTTGCTTGAAAAACCGTGTGCGACAAAACTTAAGCTAACGGAAAAAGAGTGCAACACAAATGATATTGATATCACATTTGTCTCTCCTACGGATTGAGTTTTGGTGATGTTTGTATAAAAATTGCTTCCACATCATTATTGGAAGATGTATGTGTGTCATCATTCATTTGAATCCCGTTGAGATTAAAGTAATACAAAAAAATATCAAGCGCCATTTTCATAAAGTCTTTCACAATAAAAATTATCAAAATAATATCATATTCTTTAATATCATCAAAACAATAATATAAACAAACTCATAGTTTAACTTTTCAATGATAAGTGTTTGGAAAATTTACATGGCATAATATTTGGTATGCTATGCTAGCAACTCATAAGTTCTTCAAGAGACCTAAATTTTATGATAACTTCTTAAAAAATTTGAATACATTTCAACAATATGAAACTTGAATTCGAACTCATAATTCAATCAAAGTACTCATTGAGGCAATTTAGATCATTTTCATTGTAAGAAAATTGGGTGCACACATTGAGCTTCATGCTCTTTATACCTTCTTAGAGATTTTCTTCAGGCAATTTATATTGCATCACAGATTATATCTCTTAGGATTTGTTTTTATGTATTCTTCAAGAGATCTCTTTTTGCAATATGCTTCACACACTTCATAATCTTTATAGATTTTTTAATGTAGATTTAAGGTATCCATGAATATTGAGATTGAAACAAGGAGTAAAAGAGTTAAAGTTTAAGAAATTTTTTCCCTGATTATTTTGTAATTATAATGTTGGTGAAAATCCAATTTCCTTTTTAGAATTTGTGAAATTTGTTATTTGGCTAAGCTTAAAGTATAATCTTGACAATAAAAAGTATATGAAAGTTTCTCTTTGGTTGGGTTCTTGGCTAGCTCTAGGAAGGGACAGTGTGGCCATGAGATAACCATGGAAGCATAATAAGAATGCTTGGAATGCCGTGAACAATCCATTTTCTGACCCTTTTTTTCTTGAGGTGGTTGTTTTCTTATGGCCCATCAGAGTTTATGGTCAACAGATAAGCTTCAAACACATGCATTGGTCGTGTCAGTTGCGATAAACTCTTCCCAACAATCTGAGACTCACATAGTGACACATAAAAAGAAGTGGAAATTTGCTCTTCTTTGTCCTTGTTTGGGCATCTAATAGCAAAGCATTGGAAACATCGAAAAAAGAAAGTTAATTAATTTTAAGAGAAACAAAGAAATCCTTCTTCTTCTTTTTTTCAGCAAACCCAAACATAAAATCCGAAAAAAGAAGAAGGCATGTCCAAAATTACATCTTGAATTTATTTCAAGAGATTCACTATTATACCCAAACTATATATGAAATAAACTTTTAAAACACACCTAAAACCAATTTACAACATAACAAAGAGGCTTTTAACTTCTTATAAATTACAAAACTACCGTCAATTTCTTAAAACAAGCACAACCCTAAAACCTCATAAAAAACCCCAAAACACTCAATAATGCATCAAAATTAAATTAGATAGGGCAACTGTTATTTTTTGGGTTTTTTTTGGATTTATTTGTAGAAATTAAATGGTGTAGAATTTATTTATATAATTAATGCTAAGAATGAGTATATGACTGAATATCACTTTTCTTTATTAACCATTTATAATATATGAACTCAAGACTTCCTACCGAACACCGAATGGTCTTTCCATTCCCCTTCCTGCAGCTGAAAATGAAAGAAAAAACTTGAACGAATATGAAAGAAAAAAAGTCTGAAAATGTTCGATGTCAGCTCATGAATTTAAAGGCTGAAAGGCTCAAAACTTGAACGAATATGAAAGAAAAAAGTGGGTCACCGTTTATCCCCTTCCTGCAGCTGTGCATGCTAATGTTTTCTCAAATTGTTCTTTGAACTAAGTAGGGTTGGAATACACTCGGGGTCAACATTGTTCAAATACAAAACACTTTTTTATTTTATATTTATCAAACAGATAGAAACTTCATTCAAACTGAGAACCCAGATTACAAAACTACCAGAAAAACTGGAATTTGCATTGCTGTCTTGTGGCCTTGTTAAAATCTTGCCATAAAAAACCCCTAAAAGAGGAAAATCCGGTCAAGAAAATAGAGTACCACAGCAAGTGAAATCCGATATGATACTTCATTCCTTTCGCATACAAAGTTGAATCAACTGCTCTACCACCCCATCTATCTCTTCATCCTCTCTCTTTTTCATGTTGTCTCTCAATTCCATTGCCTTTCTTTTCAAACCCTGTCCATTTTCTTCCACTACCACATCTCTGATTACTTTTGCTATCTCTTCCCTTTTCAGCCTCCCGTTCTCGTTGCCGCCACCTCCCATTCTCTTAACCTCCACACCAACTCCAACGTCCTCTACTATTCTAGCGTTAATAGGCTGGTCAAGATGCATAGGCATGGCTACAATTGGAACGCCAAACTTGATGCTCTCCAACACTGAACTCCATCCACAGTGGCTCACAAACCCACCAGCACTAGAATGCTTCAATATTTTTGCCTGTGGAGCCCAACCATCCACTATAATTCCCTTCTCCCCCACCCTCTCTAAAAACCCTTCTGGTAATACCTCTTCAACCCTGGTACCTTTCTCTTCCTTAGGAAATCTTATAACCCAAATAAAGCTCACTTTGCTAAGCTCTAGCCCATGAGCTATCTCTTCTATTTCCTCCTTGGATAAAAAGAACTCACTACCAAAGGAAACATATACAACCGAAGATCTTTCTCTAGTGTTTAGCCACTTCATGATTTTTGTTTCCTCCGAATCCACTTCTTGCTCTATAAGGTCTTGAACAAGTGAGCCAACAGGCACAATCTTCTTCCCAATTAGATCAGAGAGATAATCAACATATTTTGCTTCAATCTCTCTAGAACTCTTAACTAATACGATCTTACAAGAACGATCGCTGCACTGCTTAGCACGGTCTCCATCACTGATGCCATTTGATGAAGATTCTAACAACATCTTGATCTTACTAGTCTCGTAATAGATTGAAGGAAACGGAAATTTGACACCAGGTTTCTCGCCATGGTGGGCACAAACTGACATCATGGCAGCACTGGTTGTGAAGAACTCGATGGCTGGAATGTTTTGTAAAAAAGCTAGAGAGGGTGCCCATGGTTGAAGAAAATCATAAATTAGCAAATCCGGGTTTAGGGTTCTGAGGATGTTGGAGAAGTTAGGGCTGGCCATGTCGAAGGCGGTTTTGAGAGTGGACATGAGGTGGGGTGGGAGGCCATTGGTAGTGTGGTAATGAGGTGGGAGTTCAGGCAAGTCGTCATATGGAAGATGTAGTTGCACAAGTTCAATGCAACGAGAGTATTTTTCAGAGAGTTTTGGCTTGATGGATCTGAGATTTACAGGTGTGGAACAAAAATAGATGTGAAAATTTCTGTTGGTCAGCTTCTTTGCTAGCTCTAGGTAGGGAGATATGTGCCCATGAGCTAACCATGGAAACATAAGAACACTGAATTTTCTTTGCTGAGAAGAATTCATTTTTTCAGACTCTCTCCATTCAGGTCGTTAGTTTTATAGATATAATGAGTGAGATGAAAAGATGCCAAAATATATACAGATGAGTCATGTGAATCTAGGTTTTTTCCTCGTCAGAAGAGTCATGCGTAAGTGCATGCGTGTATATACAAGACAAAGGACATACGTTTAGACTTCTTTATCTTTGTTCGTGCGGATATATATTAAGAACCAGACCCTTGCAACTCTAATATCCTAGACAAAAATCCAATTTTAAAAACTGATGCTATGTACTGGGTTTTCCTAAACAATCCCTATTTTCTGTAGTCTTTCAGTTATTCTAAATTTGCACAACGTTCAATATGACATCAATTTGTTTTAAATCTCTAAACTTTCTCTAGCATTCAAAATTTTAAAACACTCTCAAAGTAATTTGTCAATGTTGGAACGTTCTATGATAATATATATATATATAATATTTGTTTGAAACAAGTGAAGTTATTAGAATTAGGAAAATTGCATCCACCGATTGCAATTCATTGGTCCATCATGTGCCTCTTGGTAACAAGTGTTGGAAATGTTGGGTGAACGGTGTACTAGACGATAATGTGTCCTTGTATCGACCAACAAATGAGTTCTTCCTTTTTCGTGAAGGATTAGGAAGTACAACAATTGTGTGGCCAATAAAGTACATTAAATTGTGTTTAGCCTTGCATCTTTGAGGTCAATTCTTGATTCTTCTTTTAACATGTAGATGGTATGAATATTCTTTGAGGTTTGTATATTTGAAGTCATCATGATCATGCGTAAAAAAATAAAAAATAAAAAGTTAAAAAGGCATGAATTTGGGTCAAATGTTCACTATTCGATTCGAAGAGTATATATTAAGAAGTTGTTTTGATATGGAATTGGACTTTGGAACTTCTTTACATTAATTCTGAATTTGAAATGGTAAGTGTGAAAGAATTTGGTTAAAAACGGAAATGGTGGATCTGCAAGTCTACCATTGTAAACGGAAATGGTGGCCCAAAATTCACTACCAGGACTCATTCTGTAGATTGGAAACCATGAATTGAGCACTTGTGATCAACTTATAACTTTAAGTTTGTAGTTCTTGTTTTAGCTTTTCTTTATGTTGCAATGCTGTATAGTAGGAGCTTAAGTTGATGATACAGTGGCTGAGAGTTCTGAGAACGGAAGTTTGTAGCTGATGCCTACTGCTTGAATGAAATGGAGCAAAGAGGTGATCAATACTTACACTGCTATTAGGATGGTGTTTTTGCATAAGTTACATGTGGTTTGATGCGTTAGAGATTAAATTTTAATGTTATCTTCATGAGTGAATGGATTGGACGCTGTGAACAAGTTATGAATAGATTTGGCAACACCAAAATTTATGTGTTTCTTTTGTACTATAACTTGAGAGTTTTGGTATTTGGAATTGATTATGATGATAATTTCAATGAAGGGTCCTAATATTACATTTATTTTTTTTTGCTATACTATATCAGGGTTACTTTCCTAAAGTCAGGCAGATATAATAAAGAAATTTATTGTTATATGAAATTGGATCAATAAGGAAATTGACTAATTTTAAAAAATATACAAACACGGCATGCAGATAACCGCAATAAATTTGTGTTAAATAATGTAGGACATATGGATTATTAGCTGATCGAGGAGCAGCTGAACAAGCGCATGCACGTTGTCGCGACAAAAAAGCCCAATCTGTTCAAGCATGGGTCCTTAGCTCATAACCGGGCCTATGACCTGTCGTTTCGACGAGAACGGCATGACAAGTCCAACTCTATAGTTTACTTTGCGTTTTCAGCATTTCGAGCTTTTAGAAAATTTTGAGAACTTTTGTTATTTCCTTTTTGTTTTCTAATTAGCTTTTCTAGCAAGTCTAGGGTTACTCTTCTATAAAAGGAATGCGTTGGAACATCCTAAACTATTCAGTTTATTATCAATCAAATACCTTTGAGTTTTAGTCAATTTATGGTGGATTTCGGCATGTTACTTGTAGGGTTATCGTTCGATCTATATCTCGTTGCGTATGCTATCATGGCCAACAGGGGGAGTCGTGTAATGTATACCACTTACGGTGTGCATCATGTCATGTGTTGTAAATAGTTGTCCAAAACCTTTCCTGCAGCTCTAGTGTGGGGTGTATTGTGTTCACATTTGAGGCGTGCATATAGGTGCCGTAAATTACATGAGCTTTTTATGGCTTGGCCTTTCGCGACGTGCATAGGGAGTGATCAACTTCTTGGTCACTAATCTGTTTGATATTCTTAGCAATGGGGTGTTAGTTGGATTGGCTCAGGCCTTTAGAGTGCTCCTAAGTGGTCTTGAATTGAAGCCCCTATGATACCCATGTGTGTGAATTTTCCCCCTCCCTTTCCTAACTTTGGAAACACCGGCAAAAAAACCTATTTCATATATATACAGAGAGTTTCCATTAAGGGATCCCTCAAATTAACTTATTTGAGGGACACCTTTGTAGGGCCCACTTCACATTGTATTTTACTAATCCAAACTGTCTGTGTTTTAGATAATCATTCAAAGATCATCTCTACAAAAAATCACTTGAATCCGATATCGTTTGACCACTCAATTGTGTTATTGAAATTTTAGTACTTTCTTGAAGCACCGTGTTCATTAATTTTGTAGGATACAATTGGATGTCGAAACGTTTTCCGATTTGTCTAATTTTTTGCAAGGATAATCTATGAATGTATACTTAAACAATAGATAATTTGGATTGTTGGAAAAAAATTCATAGGGTACCTTAAAGAGTGTCCCTCAAATAAAATTATTTAAGGGATCTCTCAATAGAAGGGGACTATATATATATATATATACCCTAAACATGATTTCAATTCTATAAACAAGTTTGAATGGATTTTTCAGTTTCTACAAGCGGGATGATTTCGGTTTCTCGATGTTATGTGAATCCTGATATTTTGTTTCTTTGAGTAGCTAACTTTGAAGCATGTATCGGAATTAAATTGTTGTAGAACATAGGTCAATTGCCATATTGAATGTGTTCTTGTTTGCAACGAATAATTGGGTTAAGAACTAGTTATGAGAAATCGATTCTTGAATTCCTAATAACAAATGCCATGTTTTAGGGTTTTTGTGACACTCATATTCTCTTTGATCTTAATGGATTCTTGATTGTTAATTTGAGTAAATGTCATACTGGATTTCAATTAAGAATACACGTATTGATGTAAATGCCATACACTTTACATACACTTAAGAGAGAGTCATACAACTCGAGTCAAATGCCATGATCTTGTTGTGAATGTCGTCATCATATGCTTGCTAGAAATTGATTATCTATTGTTGTTTATGGATTGATTGATTGTTTGCTAGAAATTGATTATCTATTGTTGTTTATGGATTGATTGATTGTTTGAAGGTGGATAGTTTGTCCTAGCTATTGTTCTTGATTGATTTTAAACTAATTTCTCTTAAACTCTAATTTAAATTCTGTTTTGTTTTCTTTTATTTACAAAATCAAATCAAAACCCCCTTGGTGTTGGCGTGTGTGTGGAAGTCCTTGTGATTTCAATTTTTATTTTGTTTTCGTGTTTAATTGTGTTCTAGTTTTCTTTGTGTGACATTGATAAACATCTCTTTAGATTACAATCTCTGTGTGGGAATGACCCTTGCTTGCTTACTATACTATCATTTGATTTGTGCACTTGCAAGGTTTTAATATTGTTATTAAAAATTACTATGTTTAAAAGACCTTTCCTATTGAGAGGGGCAATATCATACTAAACTCACACACACTACACAGATGCTAAGACTCGAACCCATAACCTTTACTAAAAGAGTAATTGCTTCGGACCACTGCGTTAGTGGTCCTTGGCCTTGTTTGAAATTCTTGAACAAAAAGCATATTAATGCACGTGCAGGGCTTGTGGTGTTTCAATGTTGCTACACATGCCAATTCAAAATTCAATAGAAGAATACAACCACCTAAAGGATAGCAATGAACGGATACTATTTTATCCAAAAAAAAGTTTATCTGACATGAGCATTCAAAATGATTAGAAAATGAGTAAAAAGTAGAGAAGTCAAATCCAACATTCACATGAGCATTCAAAATCATAAAAATGATTATTAAAGTGTCAACTCCTTTTCTCCTACAAATTGCATCAATTCCTCCACGACCCCATCAATCTCCTCATCCTCTCTCTTTTTCATGTTGTCTCTTAATTCCAATGCCTTTTTTCTCACTCCCTCTCTAATTTTCTCCACAACCACCTTTCTGATCACCTTCGCTACCTCTTCTCTTTGCAAAATGCCTTCTCCTGTTCTCTTAACCTCCAAACCAGCACCCAACTCCTCTACTAATCTAGCGTTAATTGGCTGGTCAAGATGCATAGGAATGGCTATAATTGGAACACCAGACTTGATGCTCTCCAACACTGAGCTCCATCCACAGTGACTCACAAACCCACCAACACTTGAATGCTTCAATATGTTTGCCTGCGGAGCCCAACCCTCCACTATAATTCCCTTCTCACCCACCCTCTCTAAAAACCCTTCTGGTAACACCTCTTCAACCCTTTTACCTTTCTCTTCCTTTGGAAATCTTATTACCCAAATAAAGCTAACTTTGCTAAGCTCTAGCCCATGAGCTAGCTCTTCTATTTGCTCCCTGGACAGAAAGTACTCACTCCCAAAGCAAACATACACAACCGAAGACCTTTCCCTTTTGTTCAGCGATTTCATGATCCATGTTTCCTCATCGACTTTTTGATCCATTGGCTCTTGAACAAGCGGACCAACTGGCACGATCTTCTTCCCCAATAAACCAGAGAGATAATCAACATATTTTGCTTCAATCTCTCTAGATGTCTTCACCAAAATGATGTTGCATGATCGAGCACTGCATTGCTGAACGCGGTCTCCGTCGTTGATGCCATTTGACGAAGGTTCTAACAGATTGTTGAACTTTTTAGCTTCGTAATCCCGAAGATAGATCGAAGGAAAAGGAAACTTGACACTAGGGTTCTTGAGATGGTGAACACGAAGTGAGGTCAAGGCAGCACTGGTGGTGATGAACCGGACCGATGGAATATTTTGCAACGAAGCTAGAGAGGGTGCCCATGGTGGAATAAAATC